TATGTATGGTTCATTTCTTTTGAAGATTGCTAAATTCACAGGACAAGATCAAGAAATAAGGCTGGATGGATAGTTTCGCTACTATTCTGATGCAATCTGAATTCAGGACAAAGTACTAAGTTTCAACAGTGACTTGACATTTACTTTATTAAGTCATTGACTGTAAAAAACACACAATTAAAAAAAGACTCCAAATAAAATCATTTTTTTAAAATTTTATTATTACTGTTTAGCAATGAGAAGATGCAGTTTATTTACACCAGCAGCCATAGGGGTTAGGGGAACACATAAGCATTATCAGCTATCTGTACAGGATGGATTACTTATGCAAAAATAAGAATCTCCAAAATAAAGGACAGTGGTAAGTTTCACACTACCCTCCCCCAATGATTCCAGCATGCGATAATGCCAGGCAGTGGCCCCTGGGCATGCGGCATTAGGAACTAATTATGAGGAAAAAAAGCCACAAACCACAAAAATTTTGAAGAAACCCTTTCCCCTATACACATACACACTCAGATACATCATAGGATTATAGAGAGATCAATACAATTAATTGAAAAGGGAAGGATAGGAATTATGAGGTTACAGGGAAGGCAGATAGGGAAAGGGAGAGTTCCTAACCACTGTCAACTATACTGTAGGAAACATTATCTCCTTTAAAAAGTAGTATGTCCCCTCAGGGCACCTGCTGGGTCAAGGGACTGAGCCCACTTTATTTAAACCTTTCCAGGGCAGGGAGCTGTAGCCCTAATGTTGGTAGTGTTGGAGAAAAAAAAAAAAAAATACATGAAGGAAGTAATGTGAACAAACCTTTACTCAAAATACGTCAACTATACTGTAGGAAACATTATCTCCTTTAAAAAGTAGTATGTCCCCTCAGGGCACCTGCTGGGTCAAGGGACTGAGCCCACTTTATTTAAACCTTTCCAGGGCAGGGAGCTGTAGCCCTAATGTTGGTAGTGTTGGAGAAAAAAAAAAAAAAATACATGAAGGAAGTAATGTGAACAAACCTTTACTCAAAATACTTCCCACACTAAACCTTTCCAGGGCAGGGAGCTGTAGCCCTAATGTTGGTAGTGTTGGAGAAAAAAAAAAAAAATACAGGAAGGAAGTAATGTGAACAAACCTTTACTCAAAATAGTTCCCACACCTTCCTCCTCTGACCAGAAGTATAGGTAGAAAAGAAACACACCAGCAGTAAACTCATGATTTGAGTGTCCTATATAAGAGTTTGTCCTTCTCCCTTATTCAACTCCTTTCTAAAATATTTGGAAGTAGGCCAAAGTTCACTTAAACGTTTTCTTCTGGATTTTCTTAGGAGATATCATTAAAGTCCAGGGCAAAAATAATTCCAAAATATTTCTGCCAAGATTTGATTTTTTTGAAAAGTTCCCACAACTCTTAGACTGAAGATCAATCTGCAATGAGGACCTAATCCTAATTAGGACAAGCCTACAGGAAGAAGGCAATATAGTCTCAAGGTCCAATTGCTCTTGTTTCCTTAACTCTCTAAAATATGTAATCCAAATCATCCCAGAGTCCAAATATTTCCTTCTGGGATAAAAAAGATACGTACACAGCAAAGGTAAGAGAAAGTGGATCGACCAATTCCATCCCTGTATGCGTCAGCCTTCACTGTTCTACTTAGCTCCCAAGAGGCAGCATTCCAAAGGAGATGCGATAAAATTCATGAAAACAAATCGGGAGGACCTACTAGCAAGGCAGTCATACAGAGAAATGCTTAGGCAGGACACTTTCTGGTAAATACAAAATTCCTAAATTCTTCCCATTCTAATCCAAACAAGGGAGCCGTAAGAAAGATTCTCCACAAAAAACAGGAAAAAAAAACATACAAACTTTACAGAAGCCAAGGAAGATAAATTGGGCAGACTTCAGAAGCATTAAGAGAGATGAACTGAAACTGGTCAAGGTGAAAGCTTGAGTGGCAAGAAGCACCTGGAGTCATAAGCTGCACCAGATAGGCAATGGAGCAGTGGACAGGAACATAGGGCCAAGCCAGTGGAGGTGGGGCCCCTTGCTGGGGCATAGAATGAGGTAAGAAAACATTTCAAATAAAGCAGCACCGTTCTGTTCACCTCAGGACTCCCACCCAACTACACTTTATAAACTCTTACTCGGGGAGTAAAGTAGAGGGCAGTTTTGATATGCAACTCTAGCTTTCCATCCTCCTGTATCCCATTCCCTAAAGCCAGCGGATTATGGAGGTCTCTTTCTTACTTCCCAAAACAAAAACGGACAGGTCTTGCTGTCAAGAGAGTCCACAGGGGACCAAGTGGAAAGGATTGCTCCTTATGAGGGGCAGAGAATGTGGTGGGGAGTCTGGATATTCATCATAGCAGAGCCCTGACTGTTCAACTAAAGGAACAGGGGCATGTAACAGGATTCTGCACACACAGGTAAGAGATGAGCCACTTCTGCTCCTTGGTTAGCACTAACTCATTCACATTATTAAGGGCAGCTGGAAGAGATTCTTTCCAAGCTCAGTTTCCAAACAGCTGACTCCTGCACGGATATCGTATCTTCTATATTTCTGTCCCCGGAGTAATGACCTGACATAATGACCAAGTTGGACCCATGGACTAAGTAACCAGTAACTCAGAGTAGGAAACATATGCCCCTACTAAGCTTATGTCCATGGGATAATATGTCCCGATACAAATCTTCAAGTCTGAGAAGGTGCATACCATAGCTGCAGAGGTCCCTACTGCCTTTCCACAGAATCACAACTGAATCCTCAGCCTGTTGAACAAACAACTTTTTCTATACCAATCTTATATCGCTGAGTGGGAGGAAAAGGAAGTCTCTGCTCAACCAAAGTTTAGGCCTTGTCCCCAATCTGTTGAAAACATTGCAAATCCTGGACCTTTGGAGAACAGGAGATTCTGAGCATTTCTTCTTGCAGTCAAGGCCACAGAGGTTCCCTACCAAATTCAACTGGGAATTTTTTCTTGGTTGTTTCAAATTGATACTATTAGTATCCGGATCTCATACCTGAATTCCATTTGTATCTGAAAATCCCAAGTTAGAGGCAGCAGTCCCACTGATGCCAATTTACGGCCTGATCATCAGTAAAGTCCACTGTCCAGGAAGCCCCTGACATCAAGCAGACAGTCTGAAGAACAATAGGACTTTATATGCTGGGCACACAGATGCTCACATGTGCACTGAGGGCAGTACAGGGATCTTGTGTATGTTCAGGTGGTGTTTAAGCGATCCCCAGGTTGTGCACTTTCTCCTGCCCAGGCTATCAGAACTGGCCCTAAATTTTAAAAAAGCTTCTGAATCTCAAAGTTCTCCATTTTAGATTTTTTAAATCTAGGATCTTCAAAGGAATATTGAGGCTTTTTGTCTGATTTTTTTTTCCCCCTTTATTACTTAGCTTACTCCTTCAAGCCACAGAACCAGTCTATATTATTGTCCTGGTCACTCCCAGACTCTCTCATCTTGCACCTACTGGAATTCTGGAGGAGAGCGCTGCAGCTGCTGATCAGGCCCATTCCCTGGTTCTCCAGGAAGGGAGCAGAGCGGGAGGCGGCATGCTCCTTTGTCTTCCACTGGCTGAATGCCAAAATCCTTCACGCTACCAGTCTCTGCGAATTCCAGGTAGAAGTAGCCACATTTGACTGCCCGGTGCACCTCAAAGCAGAATCCCAAACAGGAATCCTCTATCAGGTCTACGTATATCTCCTGAGCGATGGCCTCTAGCTTGTTAGTATCCAGGTTAGCCAAAGAAATTTCCTCCATTTTAATTTGTAAACGACTGTGCAGAGGGCGTTCGTTTTACTCACGGCAGCTACACGTCGGGGTCTACTGGCCGCGCCTAGGCCTAGAGGCCTCTCAGGCCGCGTCCTCCCGCAGCGGCGTAGACAGCGGAGTCTCAGGTCACTGAAGCAGCGGCAACCGCAACGGCGGTAGCTCGCGAGTCCCAAGTCTTTCGGTTTGGTTTGACGTTCTCGCGAATTCTGGGCTTTGAGCAGCGCCTGAACCCGGATTCACTGCCAGTCGGTCTCGGCGCCTCACACAGAAGACGGGTCTCTTCCACTCGCTGGTCGCGCCTGGCCCCGCCTTCCCGCTTCCGCTCCCAGCGCGCCTGCGTACTGACTCGGCGCAGACGCGCTCCGCCGCTCCCAAACGCGCAGCTGCCCTGGAGACATCAGCGCTTAGGAGAAGGACCGGGGAGAATTGAACTGTTTCGCATTCTCATTGTCATTGTTTGTAAAAAGATGGCAAAATTTCACGTTACTGTATTTGTAGGTTTCAACATTCGCTAATGAATTCCGGAACTGTGTTTTAATGATTCTCATCGGAAACGGGGAAGAATTAAGTGAACTATTGTGAAAGTTGAACTATTTTAGGAACAGTTCACATGCATTTGAAAATCTGAGTTATATGATTGACTGGTAATTATTTGTAGTGCTGCCGTAGTTGTCATTTAAATCCACTAGATGGTGCACGGAAACAAATTACAGTATACTTTATTTTTAAATCTTTTTTTTTAAAAAGAAAAATGTAGAAAGTAGACACTAGCGGCGTAATTCCTATACATTGATCAAATAAACCCAAGGTATTCATCATATAAGACCATGAAGTCAGTTTGTCTATAAATAGATGGTTATATGCATCTCTGAAAGAGTCCAAGGATAGCATTATGCCTGCGTTCCATCTTGAAATCAAGAAAACCTGAAAGAAAGCCTTTCTGAAAGTTATTCAGTGTGAAATGAGGGGACTGGAGCCAGCCTAGCCAAATTTAATTCCTGCCCCCGACACTTAACAATTCTGTTTCCTCTTTTCAGTGTAACTGGTCCTTATTTCCTGGTTAAGATTATATTAAGCATCCTTTGGCAACAGTGCTCACGTATAAATAAGGGTTCAGTAAACGTCACCTTTTTTAGTTATGCTACATGGGAACTCTGATATAAGTAAATTGGGATAAAATTTCCTATATTTTCTGTTCATTATTTGAATCTCCACCACTGCTACTGTGAAATAAAACATTTATTATGTTCATAGTTTATCAAAAAGTAGCTATAAATCAAGTAAAATGTAAAGCTACACTTGCTAATAGCTTTGTGAGTCGACCTTTTCAAGAATAAAGGTAAAATAAATCAAATATACATGATCAGCAAGACACATATCGTTTTAGAATTCATTCTGAACATTTCACTCTGTTTTCATAAGTAGAATTCCATTTGATTTGCTTTTTACCCTGTTCTTGCACCCATGGAGTTTTTTTTTTTTTTTTTTTGGTTTTGTTGTTGTTGTTGTTTTTGGTACTGTGGATTGAACTCGGGCCCTTGCACTTGCGAAGCAAGCGGTGGAACCACTGAGCTAAATCCCCAGCCCTTGGAGATTTTAATTGTGTATTTCACAATTTTATAAAACAACAATTGGTGGGTATAGAGTGTAAGAAAATTTATGTAGTATGGGATTTAAAAAAATGTAGGACTGTATTTGTATAATTTATATGTTCTCTATTCAACAATTAGCATCATGTTTTGATACACATTGGAATAATCATGTAGCTATTTATTTGCTAGGCCATATAATATAATGATCAAGTCCACAATTCTTGAGTTAGCCTGCCTCCTACTATTTACTGTCCTTCTTAACTTGCCACATCTGCATAACTTCTGTAAATCTGTCTTTTCATTGTGAAATCAATAGCAGTTACAATCACATAGATTTGTGATGATAAATATAAAAAGTCCTCAAACAGTGCCTAAAAAACAGAATATAGTAATATGGATTGTAATATAATGTGGAATGTAATAGTATGGATACTGCTACAATTCTACTTAGGTGAGAAAATACAGCTATAAATACAATCACTTCCACTCATTCTTTTTCTTCCAGTCTTTCTCTAAATTTAATCTAAAATAGTGCTTCTAAAACCATGCCTATGAATCACTGAGACACTTTTAAAATGTACATTATGACTCTATAGTTCTGGAGTGAAATAAAGCCTGAGTTTCTGCATTTCTAACATAATTTGATGTGCTGCTGAACACACAGTAAGTAGCAAGGAAATAAAAGGCCTTGGTAGTGGACAACTGTTCTTTATCATGATTGGCTCATAAAATTTGTTCTTACCCAGAGAGATTCCTTGTATTCTTGGTTTTGGCTGAAAACGATGAGGCTGTTTTAGCCTCTAATGCCCACCTCTATTGTAAGAGATGTATTCCAAGTCTGAAATGTAGGTAAAGAAGAACATACCTCAATAAAATTTTATCTCAAAATATATAGAGAGATACATATTAATTACAATTAAGGTAATCAGAGTCATGGCTAGGTTTTAATTTCCTGTCAATATTTTATTACATTTAAAAAAGGAACACTATCATGATATTAAACCTTTGTACTAATTGTCATCTTGTCACTCATTACTCACTACATTTCCTTAGTTTATATTGGAATGTATTGAAACCTTTTATTTTAAATCAATAACATACTACCAGGAAAAGTTACAAATAACTCATTAGTTCTGGAATTGATAGGGTGTAACTAATTTTTTAAAACTTTGAAGGTAAAATACTTAAAAATAACACTATGGTAAAGCATTTTCTTAATTTAAAGTGAGCAGTATTGGTTATTCCTTCATAAAGGATCTTCTAAAATGTCTTAAAATATTCAGTGTGCAAATTTAAGGCAAGTAAAAAGAATATATTTTGAAATTTTTGTCTTTGATTATTCTTGCACATTCAATAATTGCAATATATGCTATTTCAAAGAAAACACTTAAATTTTTTAAAAAGTTTTCATTGCAGAATAAAATCCTGTAAAATATATTTTAAGATCCTCACTTTTTTTTGATCATACAAAATAAAAGAATTAAATAGCAGTTTATCAGGGATACACGTGGTGGTCAAACGACTCAAGTGACTGTCATTTCTGCTATTGATTTAGTAAATGACTTTGAGCAAGATGAAGAATTTACTTTTCCACAAAAAACACAGACATTCATGTTTCCCAATTTTTTCTTTGAAAATTAAATTCCTATAAATCAAGCAATCAGAAAGAATAGATTCCACCCATTTGGAATTCTAGTAAATTCTGCTGTGTTGGTCCATGAAGCTCAATTGTTAGCTCCAAAATGGAGTAATTGAGGTTTTTCTTATTGTAAAGCAATCTGCAGTCTTTCCTAGTATAACTGAAGTACCCCCATGTTTCTGGTAAAAACAATTCTTTGGCTACTGAATAAGAGCTGTGTATTATAATTAATTTGCCTATCGTTCAACAGTTCTGCTTGTGATCATTTTTAGTCAAAAATTTATCTAAAGATTTTTAAGTCCTATGAGGTCAACTTTCTCTTAGAGAATATTTGTTAAATTTGTGCTAAAGTTTTTGGTTTTTTGTTTGTTTGTTTGTTTGTTTTTAGCTCCTAGCATGTTAAGATAAAAGAATAGTAAATCATGCCTGGGGATTTAGCTCAGTGGTGCTGCCACCTGCCTCAGAAATGCAAGGTACCAAGTTTGATCCTCAGTACTGAAACAAAACAAAACAAAAACAACAAAAGAATAGTAAATCAGTAGTGTGGAAAACATATATAATTATATATATATTATATAGAATATATATTATACTCTCTAAATATTCCCTAATATATAATATATTTAATTATTATAGAGAGATAGAGATAGATGATAGATAGATAGATAGATAGAGAAAAACAGTGTTAGTTTGATACTTTGGTTTGAACACTTAGGGCCTTCACACTGAGCTACTATTCTCCAGCCCATTTTAAAATTTTTTATTGTGATATTAATACAGGATCTCATTAAATTGTGCAGGCTGGGCTCAAAATTGTGATCCTCCTGCATCAGCCTCCCAGCATACTAGGATTACAGGCTTGCACTACCATGCCTGGCTTACTTTGTCTTACAAACAATTAATTCTCTCATCAGATTGTGATTTAAGTCACAGAAAAACTATGGCATTTTGTGTGTGTCCTAACTCAACTGTAAATACTAGCTCATTGTTCTAGGGATAGCTGGCTTATATGCTGAAATCTACTTTTTAGGATTCACATTTGAAAAATTGATTGTCATGATTTTGCATGAGATTCAGAGGTGCCACACGATGAAATCAGTGTCATGTGAAAATTTTAATGTCTGAAATAAGTACGTGATTTGAATCTGCTCTGCTAATCAATGAAATCAAGGCAATATACAAAAATTTGGTATTTATGACAGATACAAATAATGATCTCCTAAAAAGAAAGACAAAATAATCCTAAACTAACAGTAGTTAGTAAGTAGAATATTACACTAAGCCAAAAATAATGATTTTAGTAAGTAGTTAACATAGTAAAATATTTTTAAAAATTTGTCTTTTGTTACATCAATTCATCAGAACCAGTTCAACAAACAAAAGGCCGTCTTGGAATTTATTTTCATACATTTCTTTCTTATGTACAAGCTTATGGTTTCAAAAATATTTTTAAAGTGTTTATAGCACTGCCACTGAAGATTATAAAATATACTTAAAGAAAAATAAAATCATTGTTGATAACCCCTACTTGTGTGGGAAAGTCTACTAAGTAATACAGAGAAGTTTATCTGTTTATCATCTAAGTAGATATAAGGATTGGAACCATAATCATAAACTTGAATATGAAATGATTTATAATTAGGCAATATGAATATGCTAATAATTAAGAAATACTATTAAAAACTCATACCTTAAGGGAATTTTTAAATTATAAAGTATAATAAAAAAGTTGAGAGTGCCATATGGGAGACTGAGGCATGATTGGCATGAGGCCAGCCTGGGTTACATAGTAAATTTCAGGCCTTCCTGAACTCTACAGCAAAACCCTGTGACAAAAACATGTGTAATAATATTAGAAATAATATCTGTATATATTACAATCAAATTTACTTAATATTTTGCTACTTTTGCTTTCTCCCTAGTTTTCCTCCTAGAGGTTCCTTTATCAACAAAATTATGAGTTTTGGTGGCAAAGGAGGCTGAACCCAGCACCTTTCATACTGAACTACACCTTTTTAAAAGATTTTATGTTGAGACATGGTTTTCCTAAATTGCTAAATTTCCCAGGCTGGGCTGCAACTT